GTTATTTATGTAGTTTATTATTCGTCATTTTCTTAAAACGCTTCGTATTGAACGGAGCGGTTGTTCACGCGTCAAAAGCCGGGCGTCCAGATCTGAGCCAACGCTTCCGATTCGAAGCTCCTGCCAATAGAGCGCTCCGATTGGTTAGGGGTTTTTGTTAATAACTACTCAACCACACCTCGGATAACTTTTTCGCTAAGGAAAATCGTGTTTGAAATCACGTCAGGACCTTCCATTTCAATATCTCACATTAGTTGTACATTATCATATCCACATTCATATATTTTAACGTTATATTATAAAAAAATATAAACAAATTAAAATAAACGACTTTTTATTTACGACTGGGGCGATAAAAGTATTATTCATTATCTTCGCTCTTTTCTAAAGAACCTATATTTTTCTTTACATCATCGCATTCCTCATAAAAAACTCTATAACCACTTTTTTTATTGAAAACGTATTTGATATGAAATTGCACGAGGCAAAACGGTTTATACAAAAGTTTGCATAAGTTCTCGTGTTAAAAATAAGAATTGCAAATGGCAAGAGACGATTAACTGGAACTATTGTTAAGTTGAAATTTTATGAAAATCGTATGTTCTGCAAATGTTAGCGAGCTACCTTAAATCGCAGTGAAACGGTGGATCGCGACGGGGCAGCGCGTGGCGGCGAGTGAGGCCGCAGCCGCGAGTAGTCGAGTGTATCGGGGAGGATGTTGCATCTCGTTGCAAGCTCACGGGTGGGCTATCTATAGCCGGCGAGTGTAACCGTATAGAAGCCGAGTGTCACTCAAGGGTGACAAAACTCATTAATACCGATCTGCTTAATGCTCCATCTCGTGTCAGGCATTAATCTACTTAAAAATACCAAGTGTATCGCCCGCGGGGAGAGAGAAAGAGAGAGAGAGAGAGAGAGAAAGAGGGGTGACAGCGGATCCCACCGTTTTGGAAGCGGCCACGTCGACGGGCCCGCGCGCTCCTTAATAGACGCTTCCTGTCTTTCCGCGCTCCTCGGCCGGTTGAAGACACGCGCGCGTCTACCGAAAATTGCCGTTTCGCGGATAGAATCTCACTCACCGTTGATGGGTTGAAACTTTGCCAAAGAGTCCGAGAACTGTCTCAGCCTTTCCGTCATGCATCGCGGAGAGGTTGCGTCCTGCGAATAACAGAAAACAAGCAAAGCAATAGCAGATACATTAGAATAGCATCTGCGGACAGTGGACGCGCGGCGCGGTTCGATCGGTCACGGGAATTGGGTCGCTGCAACCTACGGGGGGGGGACCCCGGAGTAGGCGCCGGGAACGGTTGAAAGAACGTTCGGACGTGTGCCGTAGAGGAGATTCACTGCGAAAAGTTTTCTCTCTTTGTAAATATATACTTGCCTGCTAAACAAACACGGCGTAGGCCTAGCCAGCCGGTGTGCACACGTATTATTATTTATTTGTTCCAAGTGGCTTTATTTGTCTCGCACGTGTCTATGTATAGGTATGCGGTGTCGCGGCCAACTATTCTCGGAGTAAAAGCAGTTCCTCGAGTGTACAGCACGTACATACGTACACCGTCCTACGAGTACAACTATCCACAGTGTCCACCTTAGAGCATACAGGATGTTCCAAAACTAGTGCAAGATATTGAAATGGGAGGTTCCTCACGTGATTTCAAACAACATTTTCCTTAGCGAAAAAGTTGTCCGAGGCGTGGTTGAGGAGTTATTAACAAAAAAACCCGACCAATCAGAGCGCGCAGATCCGGACACTCGGCCTATCAACAATCTATCATTTCCCCATCCATTCCATTTAAAAAACGATTAAATGTATTAATTG